CATTATGTATGTAAAAAATGTACCAATAAAATTAATTTTAAAAACATGGTGGGTAAGCCTAAAATTTTCTCACAGAACAAGTGAGTTTTATATTGAAAGGAAAGCAATAGAAACAAAGTTTTGGAATTGAGGAAGGCAAGAAGGATTGAAAGGAAGGGAGAAAAAATAATTAAGCTCTATTATGTACAGGTACAAATTCCCTATGGTGAATGTGATCATTATGTATGTAAAAAATGTACCAATAAAATTAATTTTTAAAAAATTTAGAAAGCTAAATTTCGGGGCTGGATGCAATGGCATATGCCTATAATTTTAGGTACAGAGGAGGATAAAGCAAAGGCTCACTTGGCCTGTCTCCAAGTAATAAAAATTTTAAGGGATGTAGCTCAGTGATAAAGATCCCTGGGTTCAGTCCTTAGTACCACAAAAAATATATTTACAAAGAACAAAATTTCAGGAATTGAGACACATGTAAATGTTTGAATTTAGGTCTATAGATAGATTTCGCATTTCTGAGGGATTCATCTGGAGATGAAGAATTCAGAGCATCAACAGATCGAAGGTAATGCTAATCAACCTAGACCAGTGGTGGCGAACCTATGGCACGCATGTCACATCAGCCTGTTTGTATCATTGAAAGCTCTAAAAGGTTTGCCATCACTGACCTAGACTATAAAAACAAATGAAGAAACCTGGCCAAGGATAGACGTTCCTAGAACCCCAATATTTAAAGCGTAGATAAATTTGGAGAACCAGCAGAGAAGTGAATGATAACAGAAACACAGGAAGATAATAATGAACACATACAGATCAGTCATATAAAGCTTATATATGTGTACACCTATATGTAGGTATGTATATGAACAATGTAGAAATATCTGTATTCCTACACTAGCTGTTTATCATTAATGAAAAGCTATCAAATAGAATAGAAAAGGTACCTAGCTCAAGTGAACTCCTCTGCCCTGCTTAATTATGTAGAGCTGGAAAGGAAAAAGAAATACAGACCTCTGTCTCCACCTTATCTTTCCCCTAACTAAATGAATTTCCAATTCTAGTCATGATAAAGGTCACAGAAAAGTTTTTAATAGGAAAATGCTTTTTAAAAATCAATAAGTAACCATAATCACATCCAAGAATCTTTAAAATTGTATGTAGCACTTAATAAGACTGCTTATCAAATTCAATAATACTTTGCATTGAATCTCCGTGATGTATAAGGTATGGTACATGTTGTAGCAAGAATTTTTTTCAATGTAGATGGAAAAATGAAGAATTATGTCCAGGAAGTGAGTCTTAACTGTTATGACTCATAACATAAGTCATAGCATACTTCAAATGGAATAATTCACAATGCTTTTAACTGTTATCCTATGAAGTGGGAGATTTGGCTAGTATTACATCTTTAGAAAAGACAGAAAATGCTCACCCCTTCCTTCACTCTGGAAACCACTGTTGTCCCTTAGAATTATTGAGAAATTTTAGACAAAATTTTAGTTTCCATTGGGCATAGCTAGGCCAAGTAGCACAAGAAGATTAGGAACTTTTGTGCAAAACTGAGTCCATGATTGTTATTGCTCTAGTAAAAGCTTAATTTTGGCCTTGTCCAGACCTGAATTTTAGAAACTAAAAAAAAATCTGAGTTGTGTGCATATTCACCCATGGATACCTCTTTTACACTTGCCTCTATTTCTTTATCCTTTTAAAGCATACACTAAATTTGCTCCTCTAAAGTTTATTTCTTGACAACACTAAATTCATTTTAACATGTAAATAGAAAACACAGGATTCAATTCATGTATTAAAAATGTATAATTTGAAAGATTTATAACTTTCCAAATTATACATCGAATCACAAAATGTCTTTTGGTAATCAAAAGTATGCTAAACAACATTTACAGATACAAATGACTATATTAGTGTATATATTTTTCAAAACATAAGCATATATTCAAGAAGACTGTTAGTGCCTTTTAGAAATATCTTTGTTATCAATGTTAATGTGAATAATTAAGGTAAATGATCTTTAAAATAAATCCATATAATCTATCTACTTATTTATAGTACATGTTATTCAGCAATATTGATTTAAAGGTTTTTAGATCCTACTATATTTTTATTTTGATCATGAATTCACAGATTTTTTTCATATGGTTAAAAAAATTTAATACAGGGCCAGCCTGAAATACAAAGTGAGACCCTGTCTCAAAAAACCAAAAATAAATAAACAAGCAAACAAACAAAATTAATAAATGATATGAAAATTTTATAGTGATTTGCTCTGTTGCTTATAAAAATTTTAATATTTATTTGTGTTCATTTTAAAATACATTACCTGAGAGAGAATTTTTAAAGGAAATTTTCTCTAATTTATGATAATACACATTATCACCTTATTAAAATTATTTATAATTTCCCTTTAATTTTGATAAAAATACAGGGATAGCAATTTGATGAAAATTTTTAGCATTATAAAAATTCTGTACCTATATAGACTTTCAAAAATCCACCATTACAGTAAAAAACAAAACAAAACCACCATGACCAAAATCTTACACTTCTAATGTTCTTCTTTCTACTCTCAAATATTTCCTCAAATATAGTCTGACAGTGTAACATACTCAAGAGGTACCTACTGCCTTGCCTTTCAGAAACTTCTTAAAAAATTTGGGAATGCCTACAGAGATTCCATTTTCAATGTCCTTTTAATAAATAAAAATACAGGTTTTGGATTCACCATCATAAGGAAACACTGTGTCTATTTTAATAGTTACATTTAATAATCAACCATAATTATGACCCAAACTGAAACTATTCAAGAAACAGCTAATAAATATATCACAAGGATATACAGATCTCAAACTTAAAGAGATAGGAGACCGAACTTGTTACATCTTCTTGTAGAACACAGCATTTGCATGAGTCTTAAGAATTTAAATATTTCTGTCTGATAATTACCCATCACCCAGGAAGGGTGGCGGCCACATCAGAATTTCCATACCAAATATTCACTAAAACTACAAGAGAACTAAAACTTGATTAAAAGTACATTCTCTGATAAGAATAGGCAGAAAGTTAATATTTTATTAAACACTTAAGTATATTTTAACTGTTATATGCCAAGTATTTAGTAAAATATTTTAATAGCAATCAAAAATTTGAAGAAATGAACTCCTGGCCCAAAGAGGGAGGGCCTTACATGCAACCAAAGCCATCTCGTGATTGTTATGTAGGATTATTTTGTTCTTGTTAAAAGCATAAAAACTCATTTAGCCATTAAACAACTTCTGAGACTTTCATAAGCCATCTTTCATGTCATTTGGGGGTGAAGTAATAATGTCGCGTTTGTAATATCCTTGAATAGTTTGTAAATAAAGATACAGACAATGTTTTTCTTTTAAATTGTGATTTTTTTTTTCTTTCAATGCATTTTCAAACCGAAACAAAGTATTCTGTCGCACAATGAGCTGTGTCTCCCTGCAGGACAACACTGACCATTTTACGGCTGCCTTATCACTTCCAGTTACCAGCACACAACACATTCCTAATGTCTACTTTAAACCGATGTCACTCCAAAGGGAAAAAATTAAGGGAAAATTAATATTCTTGTTCTTACCTGTAACAAATATATCTGTATCCAGGACGGCAAAGCCAAATGCCAAAAGTTTAAACCACAAATACATGGTCATATCTGGAAATCAGCTGAATCCCCAAGAAACAGCATGCGTCCTCCTAAAAGGCAAAATACTGGTTATCTCCCTGAAAGTTTTTCTCTGCAAAACTGAATCAAAAATAAAATAAATGAATTCATACTCTTCACCGTTGCCTTATCAGAAGGGGAGCGATTTCCTCCTCTGCTACCCTAAGAACAAACCACTTGCTAGCTACATGAACTGCTAGGTGATGATGTCAGATTCGGTTTTACTAACTTCTCCAAAAGTACTGTAAAGGAACCTCTTTGCAGGAAGTTAAAAAAAAAAGTTTAAATTTACGGCAATAGTATCTTACTTCCTTAATTCAAGTAATTACACCAAGTTAGTAGATCTTTTAAAAGACTTTTTTCCCTCAAGGAGATGTTTTTAAGCTATCCAAATAATATTTCTTTATAGTATCCACTATGTGTTTTAAACTACTACATTATCCCTTAAAATAATTAAGCATTTTCTTACCTAGGAAATGATAAAACAGATTCAGCATAGGTATATAACAAAATGGGGACTGGCAAGATGATACAGTAACTATATTCATGAAAATCTGAATTAGATTTATTAAAATGACCAAGTGAAGGAATAAATTTCCTATCTAGTTATTTGAGGTTACAAGAGTCATTGACAATAGGGTGTTTAAAGCTCTGTAACAGACAGCTTCAGAAGTTAAACTCATTTCCTATGCAAAGCACCACAGAGGGCTTAACAGTTTCCCCTGAATCTTTTGCAGATATCCTTGTGAGACTAGGAATAGAGCCAGAATATTATTTCTACCGCAGCAAATCTTGTTTCCAAAAATTAATGCTTCGATGACACAGGACATCCTCCACACTATTGATGAGGAGCTAAAGTTAGCCTTTTTTCTGTCACAATAGTTTCCCAACCTTTTGGATAAATCAGAAATTAATATGAAATACTCTTTGGGCTCTAATGATGTTCTTACTAAGTCCATCAATTAGGAAGGTGCTTTCTGGTGAAAAAATTACTATGAATTCAGCATTACAATTAAATGAATTGATGTCATTATCACACTATATATATGCACTTACAAACAAAAGTACACACATGTACAACTTATTATCTGAACTGTAAATAATGCTTCATAGGCAGACAAAGCCTGTGGAGTAATTCTGCGGTTCCACGTTAGGAATTATTACAGAGTTCTTGTAATTGTATAAATAAATTTTGTTTTGTACTTACAAACTTTTTTGTTTTACTCTTACTTTGACTGGTAGGAACTACAGTCAAATTTACATCTGCTTTTGTGAAAATAGAAATACTGTCAAAGCTTAAGTTCTGGGTAATAGCATTTTAATAAGATTTTATGATTGCTTTTTTACGTTGATCATTATTGTCATTGCTGGGACTCAGCATCTTCAAGAGTAGTGCTTGGCACTATATATATGCATTATGTAATTTCAATAATACTTTTGAACATAATGTTATTATTCTCCATTTTACCTATGCTGTTCAGAGAAAGGTTAGATGGGTTTTCAGGTCTCACGGATGATAGGAAATAAACAAGTTATGATTCAAACTCAATTCTCCAAATTTCATCTTACTTTCTTAACTTACTGTTTTCTTTCTTCTCATCTCTTTCCCTAATCTGTTTTATATATTTTTTAAATTGCTATCTCTAGAAGACAGGCCATTACAAATAAGGTAAAAATGATCTTTTTCAAAGAATTTTAAATAAGATAGCTGTGAAAGACAGCACTGATTTTCATGTAAGTAGACCTAATGAAAAGTGGATGTCAGAGGGTGTGGATTTGCATACTCAGCCTATTCTTTTGGTTTGGTTTTGTTTTGGTACCAGGGATGGAACTCAGGTCCTTGAGCTTGCACAGCAGACGATGAAACCACTGAGCTAAATCCCCGGCCCTCAGCCTATTTTTGAAGTTAATATACACTGGAAAACTCTTCAGGAATTATCTTTGAATGTATTTACTAAGTACTGTGTTTTGTTTGCCTCTTATTATGAGAGGATATTTGACAAAACTAGAGGCCAGGAGGAAAGGGCATGACATGCAATATTTCAGAAGGGAGAAAGATGTGTAAAATATACTCTACAAAAATGTTTGCCTGCTGCACAAGCGCAAGGACCCAAGTTCGATCCCCGGTACCAAAAAAAAAAAAAAAAAAATGTGGGTTTAGCGGCCTTAAAGATACATCAGAAAAGGGCTTTGCAAGTTGTGGCTTTAAAAAAAAAATGGCAAGAGGGCCGGGGATTTAGCTCAGTGGTTCTGCTGCCTGCCTCACAAGTGCAAGGACCCGAGTTAGATCCCCTGTACCAAACAAAAAAAAAGGCAAGAAGCTGAGCGATTCTATTCCATTTCAAGCAGGTGAGTAGAGAGATTAATTAGCAATAAATCAGTTCTTATATGTCTTACTTTAATTTGTTAAACCTGAATTTAGTGTCTATTGGAAATAACACAGTTTTACATAGCAAAAGCCATGCTATACATTATAAAGGTATACGAAGACAGATCTTGATGTATGAAGACAACGATGGATGAATTGTGATGGTCAGAAATGGAAACAATGGCAATCCAAAGCATTGTTATCACTGGGACCCAGACTAGACGTTGTGGGGAAATTCTCTCTCTCTCTCTCCCTTCCTCTCTCTCTCTCTCTCTCTCTCTCTCACTCCCTCTCTCTCTCTCTCTTTCTCCCTCTCTCTCTCTCTCTTTCTCTATGACTGGGGATTATACCCAGCAACTTTTCACTGAGTTATATCCCCCGATCATCTATGTTTTTATTTTTTATCTTGAACAGTTCTTGCTAAGTCACTAACTTGCCAAGGCAGGGCTCAAACTTGTGATCTTCATTCTTCAGCCTCCCAAAGTGCTGGGATTACAGGTGTGCACCATCGTAGGAAAATTCCTTTACTATCTCTTTACTTTATTGCACCTGGGCCTGCCATGTGCCCACCCCCAGCATGCTGAAGTGGAAAACTCTAACATAAAATAGGAGTATTGGTCCAGAGTGGGCAACTTGGCATGACCCTCTCTCAAGATAAAATAAAAATGGTTGAAGACACAGTTCAGTAGTAGACCTCAAGGTTCTGTGTTCAATCTCCAGTAGCAGGAAAAGAAGAAAATAGAAGTATTTGTAACATACTTATGGTATCCACTATTACTAATTCCAAGAGAGAATTAGTAATCACAATCACACTGATACACAGTGTGACTGAAAAATATTACCAATGTTTAAATATTTTAAAACGTATTATATAAAAGTACACTGACATTAATTAATTCCCCTCAGAATACTGCTCCTAGCTCCTAGCTCCTTGCTCCACTTGTCATATCATTCTTGCCACTTCCTTTCTTGTTTGTTTGGTTTTTTTTGCGGAACCAAGGATTGAATTCAGAGCCTTGTGCTTACCAGGCAGGCGCTGGCACCACTAAGCTAAACCGTTGGTTCTGTTGCCACTTTCTGAAGCAGTTCTTGAGTCCTCTTTTGTGTCTTTAGTTGGGCTGGTGTAGCTACCTCCAGGCCCTAAATTGATTTAAAATGGATACGTTTTTACGGTTATTTTGAATTTGGGGAAGATTCAAAGTTACATTATGCCAGAACTATTGAATGAGGTGGATAAGGACACACTATAATGTTTTTCTTTTTCTTTTTTTTGGTACCGGGGATTGAACTCAGGACCTTCTGCTTGAGAGGCAAGCAGCAGCACCACTGAGCTAAACCCCCCACCCAACACTATAATGTTTTTACAAGCCTGCCTTTCCATTGGATGGCACTCAGCAGCACCATAGCATTCACTATATTTTTTATCACATCTCATAATCATATGAAAGAGGACTTCCAAAACAGCTTCAGAAAGTGGCAAGAACAGTGGGATAAGTGTGTTCAAAGTAAGGAGGAGTATTTTCAGGGTTATTAGTACTATGCCTTTTACTGTAATGAAATTTTTTTGTTTGAACATCACCATATATTTTGATCACAGCTCATAAGAGGGTAATTCGTAAGAACAGAGGCTAGGAAAAAGCCAAGATATAACAATAGATTTTATATATAGGAAATATAGAGATAATTTTTGAGTCATTAACCCAGTGTGTATCTAAAACAATCTTAAAGTTTGATCAACAAAATTTTAAAATAATTATACTTGACTGCCTTACATTGTGTAGATTTTTAAGTTACGTAAAGATTATATAAAGACAACCAGACTACATGAGGTTAACTGTAGAAGCAGATGTTAAACTTTCCTTTGTTCTCCATTTTCCTTCCTTCTTTCCTTCCTTCCTTCAATAAATACAGAATAAGCTCCTTATATAACAAAGTCATTTTTTTCCTGACACAAATAAAAACTAGTGAGTAAAAATAAATATTCTCCATGCCCTTTCTATACTTTAGTGGGCACCATAATCATGAATCTAATCATCATGGACAAGTTTAGCATATGGGAAGTACTTGATGCTCTGATTTAAGGATATAATAAGGTATCAGTCAAGTCCTGAGGTGGACAAGTTTGCCTAGAATGAAAAGCACCAGAGGCAGACCTGAAAAAACGATGCTCATTAAATGGCATGACGAAAAATGGAAGCATATAACAATATATTTCAAAGAGGAGTGTCCAAGGAATGGAATGAGATATGTGTGGCTGGTGTAAAGAAAGGCAAACCCTGAAAAATGGTGAGGCTAGAGAGGAAAATGATAGCCAAAGCTTGCCAGGGCTGGCAGATTCTAAGGATTTATCTCAATACCCAGAGCCATGGGGACCTATTGAAACATCATAAGCATTAGTCTTGAATCTCCTTGCCAGCGTTCTCCACATTGCCAGCCACATACCATCACTATTCCTCTGTCCTCAAGGGACTCCTCAAAGCATTAAATACAGGTAGACTTTCCTTCTTTAATCATTATCTATTGTTGGATTCCAAAATATCATCTTCAAATTTTTCTTGACATTCATTGGCATTTCCTCAGCAGCTACCACGCTGGGTCCTCTTCCTCTACCTGACTTAATGTACTACTAAGATACATAGGAAACTCAATCCTGAGCCCACCTTTTCCTCTCTGAGTGATCTTCATGATGACTGATCAATTTATATCTTTAGTCAGATCTGAATTTTAGAAAAAAGACATCCCTCATGTCATTGTCTACCTCTGGACCTTGTTCTATTCCCAAAATTCAGGGATATTTGTTTACAAATATACACTTCCCTTGTGGACCATAAGCC